AAAATGAAGTCCAAGTTCATGGTATTCGTCTCAAGGCAGTAATATGATGGATTAACAAAACTATTTTCAATCTTCATAATCCAGGTGTTTATCAAAATGCCCCCAACTTCAATTTTCCGAAATTATGCCCCGCAGTAAGCTTTAATTAGTTAATCATCCAAGATTATTGGCAATTATTGCTCTTTGTTGGTTAATCAGGACCAGATTAGGGCCATGTGGTAGTGATTAGGCAGCCAATATCCCCACCTAGCTCCCACAGTCCCACCTGCCCCTGCCTTCAGCCAAACTCCAAATCCCAGACAAGATCTGATAAGACAGACAGGTTATTTGTGTAGGCAGCAGTACAGGAGTGGCTACCAGACAAGACAGGAGGAGGCTAGAATATTACTACAATGTAGTTGTCTAGAATTAGATGCTCCCTCCCTAACTGACAACAAGATAAGACAAAGCATAAGACAATACATGTGTATTAACATACCTTAATATTGAAAGGCAAATTCAGGCTGATGACAAGTGTGATATTTATTTTCATACCTCGAGGTTCGCCAAAACTAAAGCAGAGGTGATGCTGGAATATATATGTGCATTTGTGACAGTTTGTCACCTGATATTACTGGTTTGTACACAACTATATTCTGAGAAGGCATAAAGAGGCCACTTCCCATAGAAAAGTCACAGAATGTAAGGAATACATGTATTGCAGATGTTTTTCCTTTGGCCAGACATGTCTGATTTGAGTATTACCTTTGAGAACTTCAAGTTGAAGTCCAGTTGATCCCAGAAATCCAGCCATGTGCATGTAAGACACAGAGTGCCCTGATGTGGATTATCTGTGGTAGAGTCCACAGCTTACACATGCCAGGCAACAGTCATGCTTTCTGAGAATTCTGTCTCAATCCTGGGGGTGGCATGTACATGTACATGTACGCTCACAGACACGGGACGCCTTACCTTGGCCTGTCCAGTTTGTATCTGTGTAGCCAGTATAACCACCTTTTAGTGCAACACACCAGCTAAAACATGTATACAGTCAGTACATCGTACCGATGATGTATATGTGCTTGGTGCTTTAGACAGAAGAAATAGTGACCTGTTCAGAGTCCAGTAAACAATTCCATCATTCTTATTCATGAATGCCTTTTTAGGGAAGTGCTGAATGCATCACACACTTCTTGTGGGGAAAGAGTTGACTTTCGTGTGGTCATCTTGAAAGAGAGAGAGCAGGAAATAGAGTTTCAGACTTGTTTGCTCTGGAAACTTTCCAAGTGGTTCCCTGTGAAGTTAGGAACCTTACAGAAGGTTTTTCGATGGCTCTGTTGTGTTGCAAACACGATAACCAGAAGGTGTACCATGGGGATCTGTACAGCCTTAATGTACTTGAACCCCTTTCCTTAATGGACTGGCAATTTGTCCAGAAGTACACAAGACTGGCACGGAGGTCAGGTCTGTGAAAGGGGAAATGTCCAGATCTTCCAGTGACAATTCTTTTACAAGCTCGTTCAAAGCTTTTGGTACAGAAACGACTATCTGGCCTGTAACTAGGCATGTGGCAATGTTTTATACAGTATTGCAGCCGATGATGATGATGATGATAGTGATAATGATGATTAACTTTTTTTCAGTTCATGTCTCATCCAAAAGCAGATTAGCATTGTGTATTCTATCTTATCATATTATCAATATCATTTGTTTATGAATTGAAAATTTCAAATGAGTTATTCAATGTTATATATAGTCTACGTCTGACAATTGGAAGTAAAGTATGTTTATTTTATTGTTAAAATATGTTTCCCTTTTCTTGTATTTGCCAGGACCCCCAGCAGGCTGTGGCTCTGGGCTTGAGAATGGAGGAGATGATCTTCAACCTGGCTGATAACCACCTCTTCTTCAACGATCTAGAGGTAGGTACCACTGTACGTGTTCTTCCTTTACTCTCACACTCACTCTACCCTTACTACATCTACATCTCGGGTACAAATAATTAGTTCTGATGTTTTAAAGCATCACATCTCTTGGTAGGATACTAGCAAGTACAGGCAGCACTTGGCAAATATGACCTCAGCAAATACTTTGGGTTGGGACTAGGTAAAGGTAAAGGGAACTAAATACATGTACATTTGTACTTCGAAGAAAAGTCATATTTGTGTAGTATTGTCTTCTTACCCTCCCAATAGTTCCTCAGCACTTACAAAATGTAAAATGCTTCTTACAATGGGTGCCTGTTGTCCTTGTTACTGACCATCAGGACCTCCTCAGTGTTGAGAGTTATGAAACAGGAGAGACCTCTGACCAGGTGGAGCCTGCCCTTTGAATATTTGATGAATCCAGTGATCCAGGCTTTACTAATAGGATTGGGACTGTTGCCTCTGTGTCTTAATGGGCGCTACTGCAGAACTTGACATATACTGTCTGTCTGTCCATCAAATTTGCTGGTGATAATGTCTTGAATTTATTGCTTTGTCCTTTTTAAAGATTTGATCTTTGAGAGGTATTTTGACATTTTTGTTCTGAAGGTTAACTGCACTGTACATGTACGTACATCCATATCTGCTTGACGACAATTCTAGTGCAGTGTTGAGCAGGTTATTAGGTAACAATGGTCACAGAAAATATTTGGTGCAAAGCAATAACTATGGAATTATAGATTAGTGAATCTGCAGTCATATCTAATACAGTAGTGACTTGACTGCTAAAGGCATACAAGATATTTTGTTGAAACAAATTTAGGTGAAAATGGTACATGTATACAGATTCTAAAATTTCAAAATGATTTTAACTGATTGGCCATTAGGATAACTGTGTAATTAACGAAAGGTTTTTACAGAAAAAGACATTGAATAGAAATGAATATTAAACTTTAAAGTCTGTCTCCCTCTTTCATTTCTGTACAGATTTTTTTTTATGAAGAGATGAGTTGTAAATGCAGAAGAAAATTCTGTTTCTGATAATAGGATTGTAATTTGTAACAGGACTTAAGAATGTGATAATGCACTTCAGAAGCTTACTAATATAAACAGACAAATTGTCTCTCTGATGTTGATTAAAGTTTTGAAACATAAGACAACAGTTTGTCTGTCACCAGCAGAAACAGTATACATCCCTGGTCAAATGTCTTGCATTTGGAAATGGATTTTCAAGAACAAGTTCATCTCTAGTCTTATTTAAAAGGGACCATCTGTCATTTATAATTATGCAGCATGAAAGGTAATTATCATCTGTCTACCAAAATAAACTTAGTGTCTTTGATGTTATGAAATTGTATATGTTCGGTTGTAAGTGGCTTTTTGCAAAAATGTGTCTGTAATAGGATTGGAAAATTATGGAATTTTTGGAAGCTAATCAAGTATGAACAGTCCACTAACTGTCCAAACAGTTGAAAGTCAGGTTCCCCAGAATTATGTCAGCTGGTAAGAATTAACCATTACAGAAATTTCTTTTGGTTTTTGTATTCTACAGGTAGTTCTACAACACTTAGCTGCAGGGTTTGCACAAAATACTGGCACCGCAGAAGTGTTTGAAGTCAAGTTTTAATGCACATTTCTCTGAATACACTTAGCAGAAATCCCTGACGGCCCCAACACTAAAATGCAGGATTAGATCCCCCTTGTATGATTGTAATGGAACAATCTAGGTGAGCGAAGCATCTGCGACCTGTTGACAGGTATGGATGGCTCAAGGAAGTGTTTCTTTGATGACATGTAACTGTAGATGGCTTGATATTAAGGTTATAAAGGTGCTGAGGATCCTGTGTGCTCAGGCCTGTAAAACTTAGATGGAACCAGCGCAGTGCACATGAAAAACTCTGGGATTCACACAGCTCAGAGCCGGGAAAGCCCCGCAGAACAGGTAGAGCCTCCTAGTCCAGGTGGGGTTAGGGTTTTTGAAAGGCCTGAAATGATATATGTCTGTGGAAGAAG